CTGCAACCTCTGCCTCCCAGATTCAAGCGATTCTCCTGCCTCAGCCTCTTAAGTAGCTGGGATTATAGACATGTGCCACCATGCCCAGCTAATTTTGTATTTCTAGTAGAGACAGCGTTTCTCCATGTTGGTCAGGCTGATCTCGAACTCCTGACCTCAGGTGATCCACCCGCCTTGACCTCCCAAAGTGCTGGGATTACAGGCGTGAGCCACCATACTCTGCTCACTTGTGGACACTGAGGATGCCCTCACATTGGTGCTTTCTCCTCATCCTCATGCCCCCTTTGCCACAATGGTACCGATGGCTTGGTGGCCTCTCGAGGTAGATGCATCTGACTTGCTGCTATTAAAAAGCTGTGTGCCTTCCACCGATTGTGGCCTCCTCTTTATTGCCTGGTGCTTCCAAGAAAGGGTACTGTTCTTGGTCTTTCTGGTTAAACTACCAACCATGATCTATTGCAAGTGGTTCATGGGCACCAGGTTCAGAGGCAGTGGAGGCTGGAGGGGCCCATGAACAAGATATTGGCATGGGGGTTGGCCATGCTGGGCTGCATTAGTCTGTTCTCATGCTGCTAATAAAGACATACCCAAGACTGGGTAAGTAATTTACAAAGGAAAGAGGTTTAATTGACTCACAGTTCCACATGGCTGGGGAGGCCTCACAATCATGGCAGACGGCAAATGAGGAGCAAAGTCACATACATGGTGGCAGGCAAGAGAGTGTGTGCAGGGCAACTCCCTTTATAAAACCATCAGATCTCATGAGACTTTTATTCACTATTATTAAAACAGCCTGGGAAAACCTGTCCCTGTGATTCACTTACCTCCCACCGGGTACCTCCCAGTGTAACCGGTTTGGGACAGGGCTCAGCTACCCCCTCTACTCCCCCACCCCCATCATTTGATGGGGCCCAAGGTTCCTAGCATAGACAAAGAACTCTAGGTTACCAGATGGGGAGGTGGATGGAGGCATAGCACTGGGAAGTTCTTGCCTTTGAAACCACGCCCCTGTGGACCCAGGAAGAAAAGTTAACACAGTCCCTCACCTTGACAGGTGGGAATTATGGGAGCTACAATTCAAGATGAGATTTGGGTGGGGACACAGCCAAATCATATCATAAGCCATAGAATTCTTATCACCCTTTTCACACTCACCCCCCAGGCTTAGAGTTAGTGACCAGCGATCTGTCTTTCTATGCACAGAGAGCTGACTGGGTCAGATACAGGGTCTCTGGAAAAAATTGGGGCCCAGGGAAAGGGGCAGGAGAAACCACACACTTTCCCAGAGCATAAGACTCTTGACCAGGCATGGTGGCGCATTCCTGTGATTTTAGCACTTTGGGAGGCTGAAGCAAGTGGATCACCCGAGGTCAGGAGTTTGAGACCAGCCTGACCAACATGGTGAAACCCCGTCTCTACTAAAAATACAAAATTAGCTGGGCATGGTGGCCCATGCCTGTAATCCTAGCTACTCGGGAGGCTGAGGCAGGAGAATTGCTTGAACCTGGGAGTCGGAGGTTGTGGTGAGCTGAGATCACGCCATTGCACTCCAGCCTGGGCAACAAGAGTGAAAGTCTGTCTTAAAAAAATAATAATAATAAAATGAATGGGTATCGTTTTTAGCCACTGGATTTTGGAGCATGTGTTATACAGCAATAGAAAATATGGTGGGAAAATAAATACACCAGGGCAACAATAGATATGTTGGGCAGGGCCGGGCGCGGTGGCTCTCGCCTGTAATCCCATCACTTTGGGAGGCTGAGGTGGACAGATCACCTGAGGTCAGGAATTCGAGACCAGCCTGACCAACTTGGTGAAAACCCATCTCTACTAAAAATACAAAATTAGCCGGGCGTGGTGGTCCATGCCTGTAATCCCAGCTACTCAGGAGGCTGAGGCAGAACTGCTTGAACCCAGAGGTAGAGGTCGCAGTGAGCCAAGATCGCGCCATTGCACTTCAGCCTGGGCAACAAGAGCTAAACTCCATCTCAAAAAAAAAAAAAAAAAAAAGACTGTCACTCCCGTTAACCATTACCCCGCTGCTTCCACAGAGTCTTCAAGGAGGCGGGACCTGGGAGGAGATGGGCGGGAGGGTCAGTGGCTGTGATGAACCTTGTCCCTACGCCGAGCCCTGGGTCACTGATCCAGCTATGGAGAGAGCTGCAGGTAGGAGACAAGGAGAAATCCTCTGCAGGGGACTTTGGGACAGGTAGGGGGCTGACTTGAAGGCTGAAGCTTTGGGACCAAGGCACACTTGATTCTGGGGCTTGGAGCCCCGAGGCAGGTAAACAAGTCAGGAGAAAAGTAGTGAGTTGATAGGTCTGTCTTCCTGGTCCACACCCTGTACTGATATGCTCAGATTTATATGCCAAGGACTTGGGGGGAGGGGAAGGAAGGGGACCGTACAATATCCCTGTGTGTACGGCAGTGAGAAGACCCCTTTGGAACAGAATGGAGGGGGCACACCCTGAGTTTGGGGGTTCCCCTGAGTCCTTTTAGTTTATGCCAATGGAAGAGGCACATCTGGGGAGAAGAACGTGACTCTCCTCTCACCCACTTCTTTGCCCAGTAGATCTGCAGAACACAGCCTCGTTAACTCTGTAAGTGCCATGAGGGTTGGGGCACGGGGAGGAAAGAATCAGAGGTGGGAAGCACTTCACTGCTATTAGCACCTAAAGGAGATCCTGGGACCCAAGTCCAGCTGCCAGCTTGTACCTGCTTCCCCTGCCTCCTTGTAGGAAGTTTAAGTTTAACCCAAAGCTGGGAATTGATAATCCTGTCCTCTCCCTGGCCGAAGACCACAACCCCTCTGGTAACTCCCTCACCCCCTGGCAACCATTCCCTTTCCCTGGAGGCACCACAGCTCCACTCCACCTCCCATCTCCTTGGTAACCACTCACTCCATCTCCCTCTGATAACAGCCTTGCTTGGTAGCAGAGATAGGCGGGACCAGTCATTTTCTCCTGTCCCGGTCCCTCTGCCCGTGAAGTGTTGACCCCACCGCCCAACACCCAACCGGGCAAAAGCTGCCCAGAGCCCTATCAGGACGCAGGGTCCGCCAGCCATATGGCAAACCTGTACTTGGGCTGTGCCCTCTCCTTCCCCTTTTCTGCTGCCCACCTCACCCTCCAGATCCCTGGAGCCTGGAGCGGCCTCGCTTCTGTTTGCTGAGCAAAGAGGAGGGCAAGAGTTTTGGCTTCCACCTACGGCAGGAGCTGGGCAAGGCTGGTCATGTGGTGTGCAGGGTGGACCCAGGCACCTCTGCCCAGCGCCAGGGTCTCCAGGAAGGAGACAGGATCCTGGGGGTGAACAACAACGCTGTGGAACACGAGGACTATGCGGTGGTAAGGCTGTGGTCCAGGAGAGTGTGCGAGCGCCTCAGAAAGAGAAGCTGGTTGCTCAGGCATCTGGGCACTCTGGCAGCAGGGCACAAGCCTCACTCCCCCACACTTCGGGATTTAGGAGTGCCCAAGTCAGAGGGGTTGGGAAAGGCATCTAGAAAGCCAATTCCCATGGCAAAAAAAAAAAAAGTGAATTCCAGGGAGGTCCTGGCAAGAGGACGGAGGCCAAACCCACGCCCACATGCCCTCTTCCAGGTGGTACGCCGCATCCGGGCCAGCAGTCCTCGGGTGTTGCTGACAGTCTTGGCACGGCATGTACATGATGTGGCCCGAGCTCAGCTGGGAGAAGATGCCCACCTCTGTCCTACCCTAGGCCCAGGGGTCCGGCCCCGGCTGTGCCATATAGTGAAAGATGAGGGTGGTTTTGGCTTCAGTGTCACCCATGGTGAGCTCAGAGGGTGCGGGGGGCAGCAAAGATGGGGGATCTCAGCCCCTGTTCAGGGCAGGCAGGCAACAGACTGAACTTTGCTTTTTATTTATTTTTTGACTTCTAGGCAATCAGGGTTCTTTCTGGTTGGTGCTAAGTACTGGAGGAGCAGCTGAGAGGGCAGGGGTGCCCCCCGGGGCCCGGCTGCTGGAAGTCAATGGGGTCAGTGTGGAGAAGTTCACTCACAACCAACTCACCAGGAAGGTATGGCTGCCTCTCACTCCCCTCCCCCAATCTGGGCCTGGGCCCCCCTCAGGAAGACGCCTCCGCCCCCATGCACCTAACCTCCTGATCTGGTCTCCTGCCTTTATCACCATCTGCCCCGCTACAGTTTGTGCCAGGCCCCACTTAGTGCCTGGGAGGAGGGCCTGTGCGGGGAGCCTGCCTCTTCCCTCCCTGCCCAGGTGTTATACTAATGCCCTGCTGGGTCCCCACAGCTTTGGCAGAGTGGACAGCAGGTGACCTTGCTGGTGGCAGGGCCAGAGGTGGAGGAACAGTGTCGCCAGCTGGGAATGCCCCTGGCTGCACCCCTGGCAGAGGGCTGGGCACTGCCTACCAAGCCCCGATGTCTGCACCTACAGAAAGGGCCCCGGGGTTTTGGGTTCCTGCTCCGGGAGGAAAAGGGCCTTGATGGTCGCCCTGGTGAGTGGGAGCCCTGGGGGTGGTGGGGGAAGGTGGGCCTTGGGGTGGGCACACAAGTGTATATACACCTCTCAGTGCACAGAAGAGGTGTCCCTGTCTGAGCTCTGGCCCTGGGCCACCTCTTCCTGTTCACCCTGGGGTCAGTCCGCTGGTGTGCACACAGTGGCCTGGGATAGTTGCGGAGAAGCAGTAAGGATGTCTGTGCCCCAGGACAGTTCCTGTGGGATGTAGATCCAGGACTGCCAGCTAAGAAGGCTGGGATGCAGGCTGGGGACCGGCTGGTGGCTGTGGCTGGGGAGAGCGTGGAGGGACTGGGCCATGAGGAGACAGTGTCCAGGATCCAGGCGCAGGGCTCCTGTGTCTCCCTCATTGTCGTCGATCCCGATGCCGACCGCTTCTTCAGCATGGTGCGTGCTGAGGGGGCAGGGGCTAGGGATGGGGCAGAAGAGGAGCGGGGCTTGGGTCCAACAGGTTTGCTCTACCTGCCACTTTCCAGGTTCGCCTATCCCCACTCCTCTTCCTGGAGAACACAGAGGCTCCTGCCTCTCCCCAGGGCGGTGGCTCAGCCTCTCTGGTTGAGACAGAGGACCCTTCACTTGAAGACACAGATGTGCCTTCTGTCCCTCTTGGCTCCCGCCAGTTCTCTCTGTACCCTGGGCCTGGTGGCGGCTATGGCTTCCGACTCAGCTGTGTGGCCGGTGGGCCTCGACTCTTCATCTCCCAGGTGACTGATGCCCCATGGACCCTGGATCCTTTCAATCCTTTGCTGCCTGATCAGTTTCCTCTGCTTCCCTTCCAGAGCCTTAAGCCAGCAAACTTTCCCCTGGTCTCCCCTGTTCTGCATGCCCCCACACCACCAGGTAACACCAGGAGGCTCAGCTGCCCGGGCTGGGCTGCGAGTGGGAGACGTGATCCTGGAAGTGAACGGGTACCCCGTTGGGGAACAGAATGACCTGGAGAGGCTTCAGCAGCTGCCTGAGGCTGAGCCACCCCTCTGCCTGAAGCTGGCAGCCAGGTCTCCATGGGGCTTGGAAGCCTGGATTCCCCCTGGGGCTGTAGAGGTGAGGAAGAAGAAACAGATTGGACCGTGAGTACCTACAGAAGCGCAGGGAGGGGTGAGAAAGGAGGACAGAGTGGGTGAGCCGCAAGGTGAAGCAGTGTGGGGTCTGCAGGGCGGGACTTCAGGTCGTGGTAGGTGGGGACAGAAAAATGAGTGAAATAAGTCCCCTTCCTGGGCAGGCACTGTGGCTCACGCCTGTAATCCTAGCACTTTGGGAGGCCTAGGTGGGTGGATCACCTGAGGTCAGGAGTTCAAGACCAGCCTGGCCATCATGGTGAAACCCCACCTTAAAATAAATAAATAAATAAAAGAAAAGAAAAAAATAAATCCCATTCCTGGGCATTCCAGCGCAGGAGGAAGCAAGAAAAAGTAACTCTTTGGGGTTCCACCTGAAACGACCTTCTGCCTCCTCTCTCTGCATAGGACTGGGCTCTGGCCTCGGACCTGCTATAGAGCATCACTGCTTGGTACAGACATACCAGGGGCTATCCTGTCTTCACTCTGAAGCCCGAGGTGTTGGAGGCAGGATGCTCTCTCTAAGCCAGACCGGAGGGACTCAGACATCATCCATCACAGGCTGGCCCAGGCACTCCCTCCCTTCCCGCAGACCCACCTCCCAGCAGAGGGTATGGCGGAAGGCCTCAGGCAGGCCCCTGAAGAAGTCTGAGGCTCCAGAAGATGTCATCTGGGAGCTTTGGAGAGCTGTGTCCCAAGGATGAAGGTGTGGCTGTGGGGCTGGCTAGGATTGAAACCACCTGGACCTTTTCTAGATATGACTCCACAACCCTTGAGTGTAATACAAGAATTTGGAGAACAGCTATGCCTGCCCTCTGTGGGCACCTTAACACTGTGGAGGGTGGTGCCTGGGCACCGTTGTACTTGTTAGAGAAATGGCCGTTCCCCATAAATCTGACTGCCTGTGTTTGTGTTGGTGGGGGTAAGGGGCAGTGGTCTGAAGGGACCCAAAGGGCCTCAGGCTCAAGGGGTAGGACCTGGCTTTTGCAGGAGACAGGTTGAGACCTGATCAAATTTCTTTCCTATCACTCAGTCTCAGATTAATGGATCAACCCAGAACTGAGATGTCCCCAGGAGAGCCACTCCTAAAAATAAAAATAATAAAAAAAAAAA